GACCTCGTCGGTGCTGCCTTCTGATTAGATCCACGCAGTATCCTCGTGGTGTGTTGACGCAAGTCCACATCAGAAACTTGTCTTTGCACTTTGCGCCAAGCAGGAGCATCCCCTTTATTAACTGAAGGACAACTACGAGCCATGTTGGTAAGTCAGGAGACAGCACAAACGAGACAACGCACCTTGAACCTCGATGGTCTCGCTTGGTTCGACTCAGCCCAAGTTCGGTCGTAAGCAGTACAACTGGGCAACTGGGGGCGAGTCCAACGTCAGACAAGCAGTGGCGAGAGAGAGCACAGAGCACCTTCAGAACGGTCATCTTGACCTTGAGCGCAACCAGTTGCGTGTTTGGATTGGAGATAGTCAGCGTTCACTTGATATGCTGCTTGAGGAGTCCTGCACGATATCTCTTTCAACAATGAGCCTCATATCGCCATACTCTGGCTGATGGGGAAAAGGAGAGTTGGTGCTGTGAGAGAGTTGGCTCGGGTGATGTGATGACAGTATAGCGGGCCAAGTTCTCAGCGCACCCCTCTGTAAGAGGCCAGACTGGCAACTCACATGCGCTTCAAGCCCCTTTACAAGCCCCTTTACAAACTGTTAGTTACCTTATTACAGTCAGGTAAAGCATGGTCTATAACCGCATAGCCTGCTTCACTGTGCCGCATGCCGTTCTATGGTTCAGAAAGGTCTTATAGCAACAATGGCGCAGTGCTCTGGCCCAAAAATCCCTACATGGGACTAAGTGCAAAAGTAGCTAAACTAACGTTGGCAACTAGATTGATATACAGATGAAAGGGATGTGCCCGAGGCATTATCGGTCGAGAGTAAGATAGTACGTGCAGAGGGAAACATGTGAAAAGATGCCTGTAGAGTTTTATTACCTCTTGTTGAGTGCTTGTATCTGGACACATTCGTAGTAGCCTCCATACAGCGCGATGAGCTTGTCATGGATGCCAGATTTGTGGACTGCACCATCCTTGATGAAGTATCTGTTGCCACGCCATCACCACCTGCTACTTATAGCTCTGAAGTAGAGGAGTACTCACATGCAGTCTGCGTTCTGGATGGTTGGTAAACGATGTGCAATCACAATCGTTGTCTGGCCCTTGGCAGCACTGTCGAGTGCTTCCTGCACAATCTTCTCCAAGGTCGAGTTGTCTGCGCAATCGCAATGGCCACCGGAGAGCTGGGAGCCCTTACCACCAACCTTGGTGTCGAAGCTGTCTGGTAATGACGGCCTTGAGTTTTTTTTAGCAGGCTTCGTTGCACCAAGGAGGATGTTGAAGCGGATGGTACTAGCATACAGCGTCTACCTATAAATCAGCATGGTCATATTTTAAATGGAATAGATGATGACTCACTGGTTCCTGAGAGGCCAGAGCGATGTGCTTGCGGTACTCGATGGGCTGCTCATCGAGGTAGACAGGTGCCCATAAGTGGGTCGTAGAACTGCTCAACAAGCTGGATGGTCGTACGCTTTCCACATCCTGACGCGCCGACAAGCGCCACATAGGTGCCAGACCCGACAGTGAGGTTGAGGTCACGCAGAATGCACACACCGGGACGAGTGGGGTACCAAAAGTGGATGTTCTCGAAGTGGATGCTGCTCTCCGTACTGTCAGCGTCAATGCTAGGCTTGGAGTCCAGGAGGTTGACGATGTCCGCTGCAGCACCCCAAGCAGAGGACATGTCAGGCACGAACGAGACCACATTGTCCGCCTGCATGGAACTGAAGACAGTCATTTGGAGCGCGACGAAGAGCTGGAACGAAGAATTGGAAGGTGCCAAACTCCTGAGTCAAGATGAGGTGCAAACCATATCAGAAAATGAGAGTGATAATGAAGAAGGACACCAACTGTGTGATCGTGTAGAGCATGTTGGACCAGAACGAGCTAGTCTTGGACTCCTGGAGCAGGCTCTCCAGTGACTCGCTGTACAGATGGAGGCAATCCTCCTCACGGGTGAGAGAAGCAACTGTACGGATGGAACTAGCAGCTTCGCAGGCAAGGTGAATGGAGTGCTCATGCGCCTTTTTGTTCTTCTGATCCTTAATAATGACAATGTGCAGATGAACGAAACCACCCAAGATGACAAGCGGAACGCAGGTGAGACCGACCATGCTTCCATGGCGGCGAGGCCATGTATCTTCTGCAAATCGTCACTTAAGCTGGATGTAAGCTGACCTGCACTGTTCTCGTCCTTGTCGAAGATGAGACCAAAGGAAAGATAGACAGAGCCAATCACTATAGATGGTGTCAGAATCCATGATACGCTTAGACAACAATAACCATTACACACAGAATGCCACAATAAACCCTATGAGGTACTGGGGCCACATACCTCGGCTGATTCTGCCCATGCACTTGAATAGATAGAAGAATGAGTACTTCTGTGCCTTGTCCGTCTCCTTTCTCTGGTCGTGATGCTTGAGGATCTCCAAAAGCAAGCAAG